ATGGATCGTGCTTCCCCACTCCGCAAGTGCGGCCACCGGACGGTCATCTTGCGTGCAGTGAAATCGCGTTTTTGCGAGCGTTCAGAGGCTGGCGGCTGCGTGCTGAAGATATTTTTCTACTCGTTCGTCGTGATTCGCCGAAGAGGTTTCTTAAAGCCCTGTCAAAATGGTGAGACTTGCCTTTGAGAATACGTGGACACTTTTACGAAAGCGCAGCGCCGCAGGAAAAAGGCGCAACTCGTCAAAAGTAAGTTTCGCCGGTCTCGCGGCGTGATCAAAGCTTCCTTGACACTCCGAAGTGCTGCATCTCTGTGCCTTCGCACGCTTGGATACCGGTCAAGAATCGACGCCGTGGCAATGTTTTGAAGGTGTGTTGAGCGTAGGTGTCTTTGCATCATATATCGGTCATGAAGTTCTGGATCGTCGAACTCTTCCGTCGAGTTGTAATAAAAGGTGAAAAAATGTATGCGATTGCCCTTGAGCACACTTAACCATGGCTATGTTTCAAATCTGCTCTAATGGATCAGATGGCAGCAAAAAGAGAGCAAGGCTATGGATCAAGGAAGGTTTTCGAAGGCCAAGACGGCGAGATTGAAAATCTTTGAAACGCGGCCCATATTGCCGAGCGCAAACTGTTGACCAATCATTACCCCTTAGGGCTTCAAATCGCATCACCGCTTTGAACAATGAAGCCAGGGGCGTCGGAAGTGTTTGGTAAAAAAGGGGGGGGGGGGGGTGCGCAGAAGTATATTTTTTCTACTGAATAAATTTCCATGAGCGTCTAGTAAACAAATCTAATAAACACGCCGCCGCCTTTAACGGAAACCCTTGAACGGGTTTACGTTAAAGAACATGGCGTGCTTTAGAAAGAACATGTGCTTCCATTCGCTTGAAGAGCTCGGTCTGCAATCAATGACTGTGTTTTATAGCACTACTTTAATCAAATATATAATTCGTCTTCGGAGAACACGGCCGGTGATGCTGCGCGCGTTCTCACCACAATCCGGATAACGAAGCCGGTATCGTGTATCGGCTTGAGGCTCTCCTTCTGTAACATTATTCGCTGGAGTCCGACAACTGTCAGCGGTCATTAGGCCTCGGCGCAGTCCTTTCAAGATCGACGCAAGGGCATTTGTACCTAACTACAGGTCGAGCGAGTGTTCCAAAGTGCGTTTTGACGCATCAGAATGCTTGGAGAAGCCTATACTTCGTTTCAGTTTAGGTCCGAGCGCGGCCGATCTTATGAGCCGAAGGCCAATCAAACAGCGAAAGAGGCACAACGTCATGGCGTGCTTTCTGCAGTTGATAGGACCAGCCGGCCTTCACCGTTTCTCGGTGCGTGCTCCTCTGCCGGATAGTTCTATAAAGCGCAGAGAGCACGCCATGACGCGGCGCTTTCTGCGCTGTATGATTGGCCCTTCGGCTCATAACATAGGCCGCGCTCGGACCTAAGCTGAAACGAAGTATAGACGGTTTCGCCGAGGTCCGTGCCGCCAGGGCGCGCTAGAGTATGCCAACCGGATGTGCTCCCAAGAAACTTCCGGTTTCTTCAGTTTCGTGCGCGTATTCGGAGTGAGGACGATGTTTTCGGCGTGTAAGTCATCTCCCTTGAACCGTGCACGACGTGGGCCTTGCTGCGTTGTACCAGGGTGCAGTCTGAGATCTGGAACGAACCTTCTTTCGCAAGTGCGAACATTTAGGTTCCCCACAGAAACCGAGAGAAGGAAAGCCTCGGTCGCAGCGGTACGACGGGACAATTGGCTGCCTACTAAGAGCTCACAGATTTGTTCTGCCCACTTCGTTCAAGGCAAGTATTTAATTTAGATTTTATCATCCCCTGCCACGGGTTCGGTGTCTTGAACATTAGCGTTGCGAAACATTTCGCACGCAAACAAGCGTCCCGTAACATCGCCCGAGATGCTCGGGAGTGCAATCCTGAGTCAGCCGGCTTAGCCGCGTTTAATGGACCCTGACTAATTTCGAAGGCTAAGACTGCTGCTTGATGGCTCAAGAAGTTACTATCGCGGACTATGCCAGATTATGGGGACGTATTCGTTGTCTTTAGATGGTCGAGGCCGCGTCAGGAGCCATCGGGCACTTATGGTGCGCTGAAAAATCATCCGTTCGTGTATCCGACTCCGTTTCCAGGTGGTTTTCGACAGTAGCTAAAGCTAGGAACGAGTGCATCTCGGATTTCGCCTGTGCGTTCGCTAGAGGATAAGCGCTTAGACCGAAAGCGCTGACAAGCTGGGCGACGCACTTCCCCCTGATGCAGCTGCTGTCCAAAAGAACCTCGATCGGAGCCTAGTTTCAGGTTGTGTTATGTGGCTTCGTGTGCAACATTGCACTGCTCCTGTTTGGGAAAACTAAAGCATACGTAGGAAAGCAACTAGGCCACCACATTTTAAATTACACACGTAAAAATTTCCTCACGTGCGTGTGTCCGTGACACAAAAAACAGTAAAAAAATGGCATAAAACGCAAGGGTGTGTCACTTTCTACCGTAACTTTTTTTTTAAGGAACATGAATTTGTGTCATAAATTACTCCTTTGCCCTTGTTCAATGAAGGAAATTCTATCAACATGTTCTCAGCGGTTTCCCCTCCCCACAATTTGTTTACTGTACAACTCGTCTGCAGAGTTAATATACAACTATTACTGTTTCCACTGCACGCTTGCGTGTATTTTGTAATGTCTGTACATTTATGTCTTTCAGGCAGGCCATCTTCTGATGCAAGTCATCCTGACTATGTCCCTACACTGTTTCCTTATCGTGTTCGAGGGAACCTCGAGCAGAAGATCGCACGGTACCAGCGTGCTAAGAACAAGCATGCGCCAAGTGGCCCCCCTGCAGTGGACCCTGGCCCTCCTACAGTCACCATTGAGAGTGTTGGCCACGAGGACAATGTTGAAAAGGCCTGTGACGCAATGACAGAAACAACACTTACTCTACAGGACATCTCAAACCAGATTTTGGAGAACAAATCATTAAAAGAGCGCATCATTTGTATGGAACAGGACTTGGCAGTCGCTAAAAAGAAGATTGCTGAGCTTGAGGAGGAAAAGAAGCCACCCAACCTTCCGGAAGTTACCAAAAGCACAGTCATGCAGTCTGACAAGACTGTGAAATTTTACACGGGGCTAGTGTCTACAGCCATGTTTAATGCCTTGCTGCAGTTTGTGCTGTCCATCTGGAATCCACCACAAAGGACATGCCTAGATCCAGAGCAGCAACTGATCCTAGTGCTCATGCGACTGCGACTAGGTCTTCTAACACAAGACCTGGCATGTCGATTTGGCATCTCAGCATGCACTGTAAGTGTAATTTTCCACTCGTGGCTCGACGTTTTGGCAGAGAATCTCAAGAAGTTCATCATCTGGCCATCTCGACGGTCGATTCAAACCCATCGTCCTCGAGCATTTCGAGACCCATTATTTGACCATGTCAGGGGAATAATTGACTGCACGGAAGTATTTATCCAGAGACCAACTGTAATGAAGGCCAGAAGCCAAACTTTTTCCAGCTACAAACACCACAATACCATCAAGCTGCTTGTTGTGGTATCCCCGTCAGGAGCAATCACGTTTGTTTCGAAAGCCTGGGGGGGCAGGGTTTCCGACAAGGAGCTAACCTTACACAGTGGGCTACTTGACATGGTTGAAGAGGGAGATGTCTATCTTGTTGACAGAGGGTTCCGCTGTGAAGACATGTTTGCAGCTCGAGGCGCAACCCTTTTGATGCCCTCACTAACAAAGAAGCGCACCCAACTACCTGGAGCTGAAGTCACTGCGTCAAGGAAACTCTCCAGCGTCCGCATCCATGTTGAGAGAGCAATACGAAAGCTGAAAGTTTTTAGATTATTCCAGACTGAGCTGCCGGTAAGTTTCGTGAAAAGAGCCGGCGATGAGGGCTACGTGACCATTGACAAGATAGCAGCGGTGTGCGGCGGGCTTGTCAACCTGCAAACTCCTCTCATCAACAGCCGCTAGGAAAGCTCGTGAGAACAGCTGGCAATGAAGGCTATGCAACCATGGACAAGTCAGCAGTTGTGTGTGGTGAACTTGTCAACCTGCAAACTCTTATCATCAACAGCCGCCAGGAAAGCTTGCGAGAACAGCCAGCGTTGAAGGCTATGCAGCCATGGACAAATTAGCGGCTGCGTGTGCTGGGCATGTCAACCTGCCAACTCCTATCAACAGTCACAAGGGCTTGGCTGTGCATCACTAAATGTTTTCATTGCAAAGGAAGCAACACATGGTGAAGTGTGAAGTCAGTGTGCCTTATAATAATTTCTTGAGTGCTAGACTGCATTGATCGGTAAATACAAGCATTTTTATTATGCTTACTTTTGGTTGCTGGGTGCATAATTTTCTTGACTACTAATTACATGTGACAAATGAAAGTGCAAAGTGAAACACAGACGAGATAAGACACACGTACGACAAGGGCAGGCCTGCGCCTGTCCATGTCGTACGTGTGTCTTATTTTGTATATGCTTTAGTTTGCACTTTAACCTTTTAAATTACATAAACTAGACCAAAGTTTTTTTGCGACAGATAAAACCTGAACTCAAGCTGCCACCTTGACAGGCTTTGGCTTTTTTTATAATTTAAGCCCTTATGATCATAATAGTATAAAATATTCACTGGTATGTACTGTACATGCTTGTTCGTCGAATTGTTCAGAACTTTTTGTATGTGTATAGTACATTTGGGGCACTTTTGAGCTGTAAAAATAACTTATAAACATACTTGACTAGTAACATCAAAGCCAGACAGCAAAAAGATATTCTTACAATTTTTAATTGCATACAGCACAAAAAAGAAAAAAGTCCGAACAAGTTGTGTTGACATTTAGTTGTCGCTGCAGTATGGCCGACAGTTTGGCATGCAGTGCACACCCATGATCTTGGTGTGCGTTTAAGGTTTACACACTTCAGATGGAAATTGTCACAACAAAGTTAACATTCAAGGCTATGCAGCCTAATTACATGCAGCAACACCAAGAAAGAAAAAAAAGTCCGAACAAGCTGTGCTGACATTCAGTTGTCGCCAGTACGGCTGACAGTTTGGCATGCAGTGCACACCCATGATCTTGGTGTGCGTTTAAGGTTTACACACTTCAGATGGAAAATGTCGCAACAAAGTGAACATTCAACAACACGGCCCGACCTAGCGCCATGACAATGGCATGTTGTCCTCGCACATTTTATTTGCTTGAAGATTCGCACGGACTGCAGTTCTGGAAAGATGTGGTTAATAAAAAAGCACTCTGCTTTAAGTTTTGCAGCTGCCCAGAAATTCTCATCAAAGGTTATAACCTCAATATTTATGGGAGGTCCCGTAAAAACAGCAAAGTATGCTCGACGGAGCTTCGTGGCCGCCATTTGTGCTTGTACTTGGGCATAGTAACCATGATCGTGCCTCAGCTGCAGGTTCTCATCGAGATAAGGTAAACGCTTAGACGTTTTAGTGAGGGAAGCACCTTTCATTGATGCAGCACACTTGACCTCCAGGACTGCCTTCTCGCAGCATGCGCAAGAGACAATGGCATCGGGAGATGCAGCTAGAAAGGGCAGGCTTCCTACAACAAACAAACCACACTCATTTAGTTGCAGGTCTTTATGTTTCAGGGACTCCTTTGCAATAAATGCTCGTTTAGCTTCTGGTTCCTTTTCAGAGCCCCAACGGAGGTTTGAAACACGAGGTGCCTCTATATACCCCATAACCTCCGCAACAAGGCCATCGGCACCGCTCTGGCATGTAGCCACACGACCCAAGACAGACGCTGTTATTCTGCCCTTCCGTTCTTGCTTCCATCTGAGGGATCTTGATTGCCCGCGAGTGGCTTTCTCAATCTCAGTACAATGTGCAGCTGTTAGCCGAACTTCCTGGGCTGCTTTTAGGTCCATGTTTTGGTAAATACCACCAAGCGGCAACTGTGAGGGCGTCTCCTTGCGCTTGGCCGGTCTCTCTGGTTCTTGGTCAGCTGCTTCAGGAGCGGAGTCAGTTTCCTCGCTGTCCGTGATCGAGCACAGCAGAAGCGTTTTTGGGGCTAATGCCTATAAGAACAAAAACCGGATTAAAGTGTACATTGGTTGGTGACAATGTGTAATGCAAACATCACTGGCCAACCCTCGACCTGGGAGTTGAACCCGGATTTTTAGTGTAGTCATGCACAGTTACCCAGTCAGGATATTTCGGATGGCTATAGGCACAAGACACTGGACTTATGAACTGAAAATAATTTATTTCGATTTTCTCACTTTTATTCGGTGCATGAAGCCGCGAACTTGTTCGTCTGTCCATGTCGGTACAGGTCCCCGTGGTCTCAGAGCAACTTGAATCACAGCCTGTCCTACCTTAGGCTTGAAGAATATGATGCCGCTAAGTGGCGCTGCCTGCATGCAATTTTGCAGTTAGTTCTTGCAGTTCTGAAAAAAGACTGATGTGACAGAGCAAAAGTGAAGACTTGAAATCATGAAAGGCTTACTACACTTTTTCTTGACACCTCAATCCACCTGCATGCCACATCAGTCGGTGATGGGTTGTTTAGCCCATACTTCACAGTTGCTTCAACGCTGAAGAGTAGAGCAGCAACGTGAGTACAGCATTCCCCCAGGCTGAAATCCACAACAGCATAAATATGATGTATTAAGTACCCAGAAAATGCAAGGAAAGCATGAAGCTCCATGTGTTGACGAATGTGACAAGCATAACACCATAAAAGCACCCATTAGATTAAAGAAAATTTCGTGCAACTTCGAAGAACTGCACAGCATCAAGTTTCATGACATGGCGGCAATTTGTAATTACATGCACTTATACTTTGATTATGCATAGCGACTCAAAACGATTACCACTATGTAGATACGTGCAGCCTGTTCGCGAATGATACATCAAAATAAAATACGTTAGTCAAGCAGTGTTTTTGTGGGTAAACAGTGCCCGCGTCTTTCTTTTTTTTTCACGCAATTCTAAAGGGAAATCGGAAACCCAGACTCTTGTAGATATCTTAAGAGTCGCGTGAGATCGAACAATGGAGTAGGAAATCGTGAGTTTTAGTAGATCGTGTCTACAGGGAACGATATTGCTAGCGGGAGATAGCGCTCCCACTTCGAATCACGTTTGAAGCGCACGCCCGGAGCGGTGGCGGGCCTCCGAAAACGATCTGCCAAAACTTCCAATCACTCAAATAGACTCTTGTGAATGAAGTACTCACCCGGCCATGCACGTGCAATGGGCACTAGTAACAGTTCCATCGTCCTGGACAACGCACCACGGTTGGTATGCTTTCGTTAGCATTTGACTGGCCTCGACAGTTGCCGCAATGACGACGATGCCTTCCCCACGCTTGCCTGCCTTGAACGACACAAGCCGTTTCACTTTTCCACTCACAAAGGCGTTGTATGCTTCGCCCATCTTGTGGCTTTTGAACTGTTCCTTGGTATAAAAGCACACTCCTTCCACGAGATACATGAAGATATCTGCTGCCGTGACTGGGGGGAAGTTCCTGGAGTCCGAAGAAAAGCTAAACCGTACCAGATCACCGTCCAGCGGGTCGGGCAGCTCTTGGCCCCTGAACGACAACTTCTCTCGATACCGATTCTGTGCCTCGATGTCGAGCCCTTTAAAATAGTCACTTGACATTTCCGTAGGCGAAAGGGTAAACACTCTGCACACTAAAATTATCACGCCGGTCGAAACATCAGCAACCCAGCTCGTACGCACCATTGGGAAACCACGCAGGAAAAAACCGGAAATTCTTCGACCGGAAGTCGCGGGGGGGTATCCAATCAGCGTCAAGCGCCGCTTGTTTGCAAACACCAAAAGCGTCTATAGCAACCAAAGTTCAAGTCAAGGGACGCGCGATGACTAGGCAGTCAAGCGCGCAGCGACATTGGGTGAGGTCTTCGGAAAACAAAAGCATGAGGTGCGCAAGCAGCGGACAAACCCGCACGCACGTTGTATACTTCCCTTCACCTTGTCGAAGCGCAGGTCGATCGAGCAGTGACGAAAGTGCTGCGTCACGTCGCCCATTTTCTTTCTGCGTGTGGGCTATCATCGGACGAACCAGTCGACCGCAGTGAGAGCACCCTGACCTGGCGCTTTTAGTCTGTGTGTGCGTGCGTTCTTGTAGTCTAGCCTCGAATACATGTAAACATACGGTGAAACCGAAAATAGGCATCCTATACATCCTTGCCCCTTTTATCTGACCGCAGCCCATGCCCCGATCCCGTTGAACTCATCAAGCAGATCTAATAGTCTATCATCATGGCCGTCGTCATATTCGCACCGACATGGTGTTTACAGCCAAGCCCGCTTTGCCCACACCAGGTTTGAGCTCTGCGCGTGCGCAAAACCGAATTCGGGAGGAGTGAAGCTTTTGCGCGTGCGCAGTAGCAACAGCAGTGCCCCCACAGTGGCGCGACGTCAGTGAGTTGGTTTATAACCGGCCAAACCAATCGCGCACAGTGCTTAGGGTGTAATTCTTTGTTTTTTTTTTTTGTTTTCTTTTTATTTGACTGATTGCTTTAGACGGTGGAAGCAAACTCAAAAAGACGACGAGCAGCCTAAGGATGCACGTTCGAAGCTGCTTCATTCAATCGGATCGAGCATGGGCTGCGGTCGCACTTAATGGTGGCCTTTTAATCATTAGGTATACCGGCTTTTTTTTTCAATTGGGGTGTTGTGGCTCTATATTCGGCAGTCCGGATTTTTTTAATTATAACAATTAAAACTTGATGACCGATCATACCAGAGGTTTACATTATGACTAGGGTTTGGCCTGATGTTCCAATAATAGTAACAGAACGGGCCCTACCGATATATAAAAAACATGTCTAGGCAAATTAGTGCCTAAGTTTCTGTGTACTGTGTATTCATAAAAAAATAAAACACATAAACTCAACCAATTAAAAAAAAAAGGTACGGTGTGTAGTTGGGCGAGTTGGTGCAGGATCAGTATAAATAAGAAATAAAAATAAAATAAAAAAAAGCCGCAAGCATAAGAAGACGACGTTAAAAGCGCGGCGTTTCTGTTGTCTTCTACTTGTGCTCGTGTGTGTTTTTGCGCTGTTTTATTACTTCGGGTCTGTAAGATATTCCTCAACATTTTAGAATATTTCCGTATTCTATTTGAATCCACTAATTTATTTTTCCTAGCGGGTTCAAATCTGGCACTTTTCATCCGATTTAGTTACACGTCGTTTGCGCTGTCCAATTTGTTTCATTTTCTTCCCGAGTAATTCCGATGATTTGGAAGCCCACCTGCGTCCCCATTCTCATCATTTAATATGAAGTGAAGAATCTGGCTGGCTCTTTGCGGTTTTCTGTAAAGCCCTTTTTGCAATGACAAGGAGTGCAAGAAAAAAATCGATCGGTCGTGAGTGACTGACTGAACACGAGTAATGAGCCGAACGTTGACGCGGCACTCGCGTCTAAACTGCTCGGATATGATGGGAGTGCGTGCAGGGGGCGAGGGAAAAGACAACAAGCTACGTAGGAAAGTGCCGAGGCCCAAGATGGGAGGGTCAAAGCTGGAGTGTGCGGCCGCAAGGAGTGCGACCTTCACATTCCACTCTCGGTAGAGCGTTATGCTTCTTCTTGCGCTTCTTGCTTCTGCTTCTTGCGCAAGCGTTACGGTGACGTCAGAACAACGCCGGGCTCTGATTGGCTTTGATTGAAAGGATAGTGGATATACCCCAATGCTAGAGTAGATGCCTTGAGGTCTACGCACTTATTTGTTGAATCAGCCAATATAAGGTCGGCGTTTTGAAGTCATCGCAACCCCTGAGCTAGAAGCAGACGAACTTGCACTCCGCATAGATTTGGCGGGGTTCTCTGTCCGAGACGCGCGCATTTGAAGTACCAAATTTGTACCGCGTTCCTCTGTGCAAAGTCCAGCGCGAAGCACTACAAAGTATTTTCGGTGTTTTCATAACCTTTCGCAGAATACAATTGTGCGCCCGGCATCATTGTTACTACGGAAGGTGCTAACACGCCTTTCGAATCTTTTCTTTTATGCCTATTTGGTGTTTTGACACAGCAGAGTTTTACTCTTGCCTACCTTTTATTAATCATTGTTTTCTTTCGTCCATTCATTCATTTAAATATTTGTTTTTCTTTCCGTGCACTCGAACTCCCCCCTGAAGCCTTGATAATTATTCACAAACAGCGAGATCGCAACTTAGTTAGAACAACTTAAATACTAAACAATTTCATATTGCCGCGCGCGCATGTGGCCAAGCAGGCAGCGCGCGCGTAGCCTAACGGTTATCGTGCCTGCCTCCCACGCGAAACGCCAGGGTTCCAATCCTGGGAGCGCCGCATTATTTGTTACTCCTGCAAACTAGTTTTCTGGTAGATTCGAGAATCAAGTCGGCGCGTTCGAGGTCCGAATGTTCTACGTGTTGAATATTCTACGCCGATTATTCCAGGAGCTCACGCATGTACAGTACATAAGGGGCTCCACGTGGCGCACCGGACTCAGTCTCGCCCTAGCGCTCGAACCTGCTCTTACGCCGACCTCGACGCCCGCGACGCTCTGTTATTCTTCTTTGTGTTCTCTTTATTTTGTGCACAAGTTCGCCCCATTAAACGTTTAGTCTTCTTCAGTTATCATCGCCTTATCAATTGCCATTCGTGACAATACTGACACGTGAATAATATCTACGGCGAAGGTTGTTACACAAGAGCTGTATCTGGGCCATGGGTCGAATCGTAATAATGATTTAGGGAATCTACGGAAGGTCCCTAATGAAATTAAAAGAAATATACAGTGCCAAACATTGTACAATTCTTTATGCAGCTCTAAGATCGAAAGTTGAGTGCACGATTTTCTCCACTGTTCCTCACCCAGGTGAAAGACAGCCCAGAACCGCCGCCCTACCCGAAAGAGCCATGTGCTTGGAGGCCGTGTACCGCGGAACCAGGTGGTCTGCTTCGCCACCAGACACGTGCGCCGAGATGGACTGCCCCAGAGGCAGCTTCGGTACGTGCTCATTCACTTTCTCAGAACATGAAGACTCTTTGAAAACAAAATGCTTCCAAGCAAAATAAACTGAAACATCCGCCTAAATGGAACTCTACTCTGATGATCTAGTTTCAGTTTCAAAAAAATAATCGCTTGGTCCGGGCCGGCCTACTACACCCTAGCCAGACTTGGAAGTAACGCGTTGAAAGCAATGGCGTCGCTGGTAACACGTTCGTATTATTAGTAACAAACTAAAGTACTCAGTAGTACCCGAAATGACCTACGAGTAAAATACATTCGTAATGCTGTGTGCTATTTTCGATTAAATCATGTTCCTCATTATACATTAGCTTTGATTTAAATTAGTTACGTTCTCAGTTTCTTTAAAGGGATACATCAACGATATTTGAAATATAACCGTCGTGCTTAGAACTAGGCTGCATATGATCTATAATAGCCGTAATTGTCAATCGCACGTTGGAATGTTGAGCCTGCCCTTAGCGAAAAGTCGTTCAAAATCAGTATACTGAAAGTATACTAATAGTGAACTTGGGGCATGTACTGAAATCGTACTAGTTTCACACTTTTATGAAACAAAATAGTATACCTTTAGTACACCCCAAGTACATATGTAATATACCATAAGTGCACCTCGAGTGCACTTCTAGCATACTATAAGTGCAAGTTTAGTACACTACATATATGCTTTTAGTGCACTAAGTGTACACTACCAGTACATATCTGCGGAGTGTCCCAAAAAACTTGCACCAAACTTTAAAAAAAAACACAAAAAAAAAAAACCGGAGCGTTTTGCGGGAGTGAAACCAACTGAACGCTGTTAGAAAGACTTTTGCGAAAGTGCACGAAATTGTTTTAGTGCGCCTATTTATTTAATAAAGAGTAACAAGTTAACTTTTGAAATCTTCATTTAAAAGTCGAGGTGTGAAATGTAAAGTTGTAGAGCGCATTAAAAACACCAAATTAAACCATTTTCAACAAGGTGCACTAAGCCTTCAAAAAAACGCCCGCGAAATACAAAAAATACCGCGTGACAACTCGCTTCCCCAATCACGGCGTGCGAGCGCGCCGCGAATGTGCGTTCTTTGAAGGCCGGAAAAAAGCACGAAAACGTATTATGTTTCAAACACTTTAATTGGGTGTTTCTCAATGCGCCCTGCAACTTTACAATTGACATCTTGGCCCTTAAAGGAATATTTGAAAGGTTAGCTCATTAATCTTGGTTATTTACATAACCAGGCGCATTAAAAAAATCTGTGCACTTTCTCAAGACGCTTGCTAACGACAGTTGACTTCATTCCTGCAGAGCCCTCCGGTGTTTTTTTAAGTATGGTGCAAGTTATCTGGGACGCCGTGTATGCCGGGCGTTCTGAATGGAAAGAACGGTCTTAAATTGGCCAGAAAAATCGGCGCCTGCATTTAAAAAGCTGACTTTTCAAAGGTGTTTCTTTGAACGGCTGTATTCCAACCTGTGGAATTTCATGTCATATAGCTTCATTCTTGTGAAATGTCGAGAAACGCCGTTGACAAGTCAATTGATGATGATAATGCAGAGGCGCCACCATCGGGAGATGCACTCTTAAAAATGAGTCAGGAAATTAACGAGGAAATCTTTGGCAGCTCTATTCCTCGTGAGAATGACGTACCGGCGTCTTCTGAAACTGTGTGAGAAAAGCCATAAAGAAGAGGTGCATTGCATTTTTCAACTGAAAGTATGTATGTGTAGCATACAAACATTATGATCAGTGTTATTCGCGTAATTGATAAGACAGGAATTGAAATCCTACTTATCACTTTATTCAAGTTTTCGAGCCTGCCTCACTGTACACTCTCCTTTGTGATGATGGTATGCCATTACATCCTGCGTAAAAAGAGAAGAGAAAATTACCCTATGGGGGCCACTCCATGATTTAACATCACATAATTCGCTCAAAGGACCACTATGTGAGGAAGGCAAGATAGTAACAACTTCATCCTGACAAAAGGGTGAGGAAAATCGGACAATATCGTTTCGGAAAGCCTGATAAGCCAGACATTAGTGGTGTGCCTTCCTGCATGTCCAGGGCTATGCTACAGGTAATAGTGTTCATTGCAGAGCACAACATTTATTACTTCAAATCTTAGGCTCCATAAAAAAAGAAAAGAAAAGATTTAAGGTTGCAGCTTCTACATTTTAAGCACATGGATTGATGAAGGTCACAACGAAAACATCTGAGAATGTCAAATTTCAGGGCTGTGTGTGCTAATAATAAAATTGTATTTTAGAAAATTAGTATAATACGGTATTCGATATTGGTTTCAAGATGAATCGTACTACTGTAAACGACCTGATTTTCGCGAAAGCTTAGTCTTTGCGAGTTTATCTCGAAAGAGTAAAGCTACACGCACTCCGGAGTGAACTTCGAACGGAAATGGCTATACGCACTCCGCTTTTCTCGTATAAAACTAGTGATCACAACGAGCTTCCTAAGCGGTGGCATGGCATAGTGGTCAAGATGTCCGCTTCATACGCAAGTGGACGCGTTTGATCCGCGGTGTCCTACTTTTTTTTTTCTTTTTTTTTTTCTCAAACATTTTGTTTTGTCGAGGCATTTGGCGATATTTACATTTCTTTTTTTTGCGATGAACAGTTAAAAAAAAAATCGAATGTTGTTGAGGAACTTTGCAGAACTAAATGGTATGGGACTCCCTTTCCGGAGGTGCGATCGGGGACAGCGGGGCTTGGATTGCCGGCTGGACGCCGCGAAGCGGCGTGTACTGGTTACGTTTTGTAATTAGCAGCCGATACTGTCGCCGCGAAGCGGCGTGAACGCAGGCGGGGGGCTGGGTTAACGAGCTCCCCAGTGATTCACGCGTCGTACGAAAAGGGTGGCCCGAACGGCATGAGCTTTCCGAGGAGTGCGTATAGTCATTTCCGTCCGAAGCGCACTCCGGAGTGCGTATAGCTTTACTCTTATCGAAATTGCTCAAAATTGGTCATGCAAAAAACGTGACATCCAAACTCACTTTATTCACAACACACAATCGCAAACTTGGAAAACGTGCCGCTTCAGCATACGTGAAGAGATCGTCCGTCTCTACGGCACAGGCATCAGCACGGGCAAGAAATCATGCTGCTCGCTCTTGTGACGTTTTTCTCGCTCCCGCTTTATGAAACAAATCGTCGGCTAGAGACTGTTGGGACCACACGTCAGAACTAGCATGACCTGTGATTGCTTGAACTGCCGTCAGACTGTACTTGAACGCTCCGCAAAAGCATCGTCGGGCGACCGTCGTAGGGACGGCGCCCAGGACAAGCCCTCGGCTGGCCCTCGGTTCCGCCGCACGCGAATCTTTCTCACTCTGTGGAGAGAGCCATAAATTTTGAAAATACGCTCTTCTCAAATAACGAAATAAAACCGGGTAGAGCATAGCGAGAGTCAAGCATAGCTTAGCAAGCACACGGTACAAGACGAAGTTTGAAACAGCGGCGCACTTCGCAGAAACAAAAGAAATTTTTCTCACCTTCGCTTGCGCCAGTCGGCCATGACTGTTCGCCACTTGCGACGCTGCGTCTCACAGCTCTCAGTAATCGCTTGCTATTATTGAACACAGTATTCGTAAGTAAGCTATCTAAAATATCCGCTAAAACGGCTAAAACGTAAAAAGGAAACGATGCTCAAACCCTCTGGAACTCCAACGGCGGCGGAACGGAAGCTGATTGCAATAGCGATGGTCTTGTGCAGTTTTCAAAAGTCTCTTCTTTTTGTTCTTTTTTTCTAAGACAAAACTAAGCAAATCAATATATTAATAATAATAATGTCACTTTATTATATTCGTAAAAAATGAACAGAAAGTTTAGTCTATCTTAGGTTTTATCTAAACTTTCGGTTTTCTTTTTCAGTGTAAAACCGAAACTATCTCAAGCAATTTCTCTCTTGTCGGCAAGGCTATTTTGATTCATCAGCGCATGCTTGCACCGCTTGCATTTCGGCTTTTCTGGAAGGATCGGCTCTCGCGGCACATAAATAATGAGGGCAACCTCGTGTTTTGAAACAATGAGCGTGCCCGTCTTTTTTGATGAGGGAAATACACGTCAAATATGAGCGCTGTGTGAAAGGAGTGTTCTTTGGGTGTGTGAATGCTTGAATGGCAGTTTTTTGAGTGCGCTAAACATCGACAAACATGAACAACCAACTCGCCCAATCTCAAGTTCTCACAGGTCAAATTTGCGTCGATTTTTTACAGTGTGGAACTCTCGATCGACGGTGTTGTTCGTTGTTGCAATTGTCGATCTCTTTTCAGGTGAATTGAGATGTCATAGAGTTTTGCAACATAAATCTACACCATAAAACACTTTCGGTGAAAGTTTGAGGTTGTTACATGAAGGCGCCAATTTCTCCAGCCAATTTCAGAGCGAGCTTCCATTCATAACACCACTTCGCTTACGCGGTTCAGAAGTTGATTTGCGCTGCATGCGACTATGCAAGGTGGACCATCTTATGTCCCCATTGTTAGCCGAGGTTTCTTTTGCGTCCTGTCCTTTTGATTGCTGTGGATGCAGATATCTGAAACAGCGTATAGTGCGCTGAGACCTGCATTACAAAAACACTGGATTATGCTGCAAACGTAATTTGTCTACTAGCCTCTGAGGCAGCACGCAAGTGGCGGTGCACTTTGAAAACAAAGTCATGTGCCTGCGTTTTCATCAGCAGCATTAAACACTTGGTGCGATTGCCCTCGATCGCCTAGCTTCCGAATAGTGCTCAGTTTTTTTACAGTAAACTTTTATTCTTCAATAAAGGTAACAAATACAGCTCAGGGAAAATAAAAGCTATCTTTGCAATAAAAGTAGACTTTTCAATTGCTAAATTTATAGAAATGACTAGCTAAAATAATGACTGACAAGTTAGATAACGCTACTTTCCGTGGCGTACAATGCAGCTAATTTTTCTATTTGTGCTTTTTTTCGGCGTAAGCTAATGTTGCATTTGCGACGTAAGTATGCTATGACAGTGCCG